AACAAATCGAAACGCGAAATACTCTAAGAAATGTTTTTGCAAAAATATTAAGTTTGAGTGAATCTTTAAACTACAAATACACCATCACATCCACCATTCTTTACGCCATCTAAGTTACAGGTATTTAGGTCTTAGTTTAGCGGTTGAAGTATAATTATAGATGAGACATAGCCACCGAATCGCCAATATGTCGCGTGAAAAAATGATCAGGAACACAAACAAAGATTAGTTCCACCATTCGTCGCGTATCTTGGACTCATCGAAAATTAGTTTCGGCCGAGTTTCACGTACGCCCCCGCGTCATGTGGCCGAACTGACTTAATGAGTTGAGCTGCAGCAAAAAACGTGTTCCTCTATTACAATAAGGCGCATGACTCGCCTCTCCGCTAGCAATTATTTATAAAAAGCGGGCCGCTTCTATGAAAGGGCGATTAGCTCAATATTTATATGGAATATTCAGTATCAACGGCGCTTTGTGTCCATAATTCGGTAGGTCGTGACGTTGCGTCTTTGACTCGCCGCTCAACGCATAGACCAACTGCTCTCGAGGTACATTTTTAATATTAAAATCATATATATGTAGCCAAATGTAAATAAAACACTTTAACGATTCAAAACGCGATATATATTAGTTAAACTTATTTGAAAATTATTTAATTTTATAATTTAGATGCTTTGCAGCAGCTGTGGTTACGGGGGGAACTTAAGAGGGAAATTTAAAAGTGTGCATTAAAGTGATTTTTTTAATTGTGTACTACTTGTGACAGTATTTATATAACCAAATGGTTAAACGTGTCGCCTAGCATTGCGTTTAGCGCAAGAGGTGGCGGTGAATCCCGGGGGATCTGATCATGATCATTTTTTTCTATCATATAATTATAATTAAATATTCATAATTCAGTACTGTACGTACAGCAGAAACTGATTTTAGACCATTATCAAAGTTGACTCTGTTTTTATTTACATGCTTGGCTTGTTAGTTATATTAAAATAAAATTATTAATACTTTTTACAGTTGTATACAATTATCTTTCATTAGAAACTCAAAGAGACGTATAATGTGTTGCTTTAAATTTTACCACTGAAAAACTACCCGCACTAGAACGTATTACGTTTTTCATTTACGCCTTAGAATTTTTTTGTAATCAAAACAAATTCAAAACCCAAATAAATATTACAGGCTCTTAATAAAAACACTATCATATTTAAAAATGGAAAAAAAAAAATTGTTCTTTGTTTAAAAAATGGTACTTTCATATCACAGAGCGTTGCACTGACTTAATATAAAAAAAATATCAAGCAGCTAATATAATTATTTTTAAAATAAACTTGCCTCAGAGAGGATAAACAAGAGCATCGGATAAGATCGAATCAAGCCACATCTGAAATGTTTTAAGCGAGCCACCAAGATCGTTTCATTGCCTCCACTACCGAATTGATTCGCCGGCTATTCTTATAGAATTCTCCGGCGTGAAAGCAGCTACTATCCAGCTTCAATTTCTTTAATCTGATTCAATTCATCGTACATCAATCAAAGAGGTGCCGACGTACTACGTCATGCGCTCAGTAGCAGAACACAGTTTACTGAAATTACGTTTGTGGATAGGTACAGTGTAGTTACAAACGCACATAAGCTGGGTCGGTCTTGTCATCTTATGAACCGTACGTTCGCGAGGTGGGAAGTTCGAGTCCAGTTTTGCACAGAAAAAGTTTTTCTTAGTGTAGATTCTGATAGTAGGGAGAACAAAAAAGGGAATTCTTAAAACCTAAAATGATACAAACATTTGACAAACGTAAATTAGGTTCTATACGTACGCCCTCTTCGGGGGTCCCAGCTGTAGGCTTGTGGGCATATCTTTTAAATGGTACTCATGGGCTATATACTCATTTTATCATGCAGATGCAAGTAATGATAATGCAAAGAAAGTTAATTTTATGTCGCTAGATTTATTTAGAAATTACATAGTGTAAATTTGGAAAATATAACACTTTTATGCTTGACGCGGGTTGAAAGATGTAGAAAGTTACAAATTTAAGTTAGCATTATTTTAACAAAGGCCCGACGTTTCGGGTGCTTTACAGCACCCAACTTTCGCGTTTTAAAACGTTAAAAGTGTTTTATTTAAAAACTCGCGTAATCTACAGACAATATTAAACTATTGTAAATTTAAATTTATAACCCTAGGGAATACAGTCGTTTGTAAACTGTTTAGGAAATATTTGTGTCACAGACTTTTTGAATACAGAATTAGATTAGAGGAAAAAAGAAAAGATTGTTTTACTCCTTACGTAATTATTAGTCAAGAACATTTTACAGTTTAACTATTTGTAAGGGGACTGGAAAATGGGGATTTGGGTCAAATAGTCAATAAGGGGGCCCCCCCCCCCCCCCACCCCCCAAACACAAAAAAAAAAAAAAAAAAAAAGCCCCCCCCCCCCCCCCCCCCCCCCCCCCCCCCCGGGGGGGGGGGGCCGCCCCCCCCCCCCCCCCCCCCCCCCCCCCCCCCCCCCCCCCGCGGGGCGCCCCCCCCCCCCCCCCCCCCCCCCCCCCCCCCCCCCCCCCCCCCAAGAACAAGAATGGCCGGAGCGGGGCCCGGATCCAATATACTAAGAATAATATTAGTAAACTAGCTATGCCAGCGACTTCGTCCGCGTAGAATAGTTATTTTAGACATATTATACTCTCGTGGACACTTAAAACAGAATAATTCGTTTTCGCAGCACACGAGCGAATATCCAAAAATAGTATAATTTTCATTGTTATTTCTACATTTCCCACTGTTTCTTCCCTCCTATTTGTCGAAGTGTGTTTCGTAGCCCTCCTCGATAAATGATCTAACAACACAAAAAATTTTTTCCATTCAACCAGTACTTCTTTAGATAGTTCTAACCAAGAAACAATCATTTAAATGAAACACAAATCTAACCGTTTAAAACGCGATATATATTAGTTAAACATTTTTGTTATTTTAACTACGGCCCGAAGTTTCTGATGTTTTGCAGAGGCTGGTGCAATATTGCCGCTGTTTTCTTTAAATGTCTACTACTCGCGTTAACTATAGACAGTATTCAACAGAAGACCAGAGAAACAAACTCTTCAGCTTTCTGATATAGATATGCAGTAGTTTCAGACAGAATTCACACTTATATTCCTGTTGATGAAGCTAGAAGTCACGGCATACATACGCCAAACATAGCGTTGGTCACAAAAAGTGTGCATTAAGACAACCGCGCAAAACAACTTTATGAACTAAAGTTATAATATTCCCATTAGCAGAGTCGATTTGCTTAATGGCAATTTTCTTACCTGCTATCTAAGAGTAAAAATCCCACAATGTGTAATTATTATTAAAAAACGTAAGGGAAATTTTTATCACGAGCAATATATGAGAGCGCATAATTGGGGGGAGGTACCCCTAAAATTAGTAAGTGTACGGCAAAATTAATAGATTGCAAATCGATCTTATTGTTTAATTTGGATTCACTGTTATTTATATAATACCTATAAGTAGCATTATTTTGTTGTATTCCGTCAGCGTTTGTTTGGTTTAATCCTCAAAAAAATAGAAAAAACCGACAAGTATGAGGTTTATTTGATGGAAGGTAAAATACCTGTGTCATTTAACATATAAAAAAGATCCCTTAACGACCTATTTTGGCTTTGGATATTTGGAAATCCATAAACTAACACCTAAACGCGATTAAATTACTTTTTCACCTTCGGACGGTGGTTACCCGGACGGAATTTCAATATTCCTACCACATATTTAATATCCAGATTTCCAAAGTCCAACATGGGACCCGGTGGGGATCGTTGATTATTAGCACGAGCCCATCAAAGAAAAATCTTATGAAATAACATGGATCTGCCGTAAAATTAATTATAAAAAACTGTAATGAGTTTTTATTAACGCCTTTTACGTTTATGTAAACGGTTTTAATTTTAAATTGAATAGATTTATTGAAAAATGAAGAATAAAGTAGCATTATATCCATTGTATGTATTCCATCAGAGATCGTTTGTTGATAAAACTGTTTGAAACTATAATATACTAATCTTCCCCCACCCAACTCCTCCGCCCATTCTCCCAATTTTTTTACAATTTAATTAAAATATAGACGATCTATAATTTCGTTTCATTATTTTCGCATTTTATCTAAAGTCGACTGCCATTTTTATAATAAGAATAAACGACGGCAATATAAGGCTAGAAGCGTCTTAGAGCTCCATATTCATCTTCGTCACGATTAAGACATTCAAAAGTGTCTCCATGAAAGAGGAGATTAGAGCATGAAACAGCCCAACAATACTCTTTTAATTTGCCATTATGCAGCAATAAAAACATCGTAAATGAGAGCGACAAAAAAGTTCAGCGCTAACAAAAACCGCGTGCTGGGGCAAAATTCGCGAATCATGCCGTCGTAATGATGGCCGCTTGAAAAAAATTTAAATATCAAAAGGCCGGACGGGGCACGCTAATGGTTTAAAGTCATTTTTCATTCGACTCGTGAATCACAAATGAAAACGGTAGCCGACGGCTGCGCTACCATCTCGATTACAATTTTTGGACAAGATCCATCTTTCAAATGGAGTTCTTAAAATAGTAATGGCCGTAACAGCATTTTTATTACAAGAGCCCACTTCATTCGTGGCATAATTTTCTTTTATTTGATTTGATATTAAATTCTACACTAAATGAAATATGATTTGTAAACTTAACTTGAAATAGCCCACAACTCTGTTTATTAGATACTACTGGTTGAAGCCTAATGTTTTGTAGCCTAAAGCCTTCCTCGATAAATACTCTAACCAACATAACTAGTAAATCCTGAGATTAGCGCGTTCAAACAAACAAACAAACTCTTCAACTTTATAATATAGTATCTTACAAGAAACCAAGTAAAAAAAACAACAACAAAATTACAAGAAATAATGTATTTACAATATGATTTAAATTCTTAAAAATATTATAGGTAAAATGTCATTATATTTGTAAAAATTATTTATTCTTCCTCTTTCTAGTAAATGTGTCGACGGGAGGCAAACCACTGTCGTATTCGCTTGCTGTATGCATTGAACTTTGCTTATTGCTTATCTTGTTTCCAAATGCTCCGGCCTTCATTTTGGGGAAACTGTAAAACATTTACAGCATGATAACTACAATAATAAGCATAATGAATCACAACAATGTTTCATGTTAAGCTGGATTACAACACAATAAAACACATAATAAAAAATATGTAAAATGAACAGTAACTATAAATAAATATATTATCTTTTTTATTACTTTTAGTGACTTCAGTCTTACCCAGGACGTTTCTTCTCTTCTTCGTCCTTAATAGTAAGCCGGTTAACTGCTTTCTCCTTCTTCAACTTAGGATCGAATTTGGCGCGCTTAGCTAACGCTCCGGGGGTTTCCCGCAGCGCGAAAGACTTCGCCGCGTGACCCAAATGAAGTTGACGCGCGTCTAGCCACGGACGTACTTCGCGCGGGTAGCCAGAGTAAAAGCGAACCCATGACGTGTAAGCTAAGGATTAAGATAATAAAAAAAAATATTGATAGAAGTGATATTTATTATTATAGAAAACAAAAGCTCAAAAAAACGATTGAAACGAAAGTATTTATAACACCAAACCTTGACTTCAATAACATGTTTAATAGAAACTAAATTGGGTTGTAGCTTGAAAAAAGTAGTAGCCAGTAACTCTGTAGCTTAATTGGTTAGAGCAACGGCATGGAACGCTGAAGATGCCAGCTCAAATCGTGTCCGAGTCTAAATTTTTTTCAATTCATTTACGATTTTTAATCAATATAGTAGTAGTGTAGTCAAATTTTTATAAACAACATAGTTCGCGTTTTAAGCCCGTAAATGTGTTTCTTTCAACTTATATATAACTGTATTTTAAATCACTCTTTTTATATGGACGTATTTCCAGAAACCTCGTAAATATCACAATAGTAACTCACCCCTACTGGCTCTCGCTAACCAGTCTTTAGACGAATGAGCGGTGTTTTCTAATTTGGCCTGAACAGCGATGGCGGCGCGTTGTACTGTCGGCGCGCTGGGCGCTACAGACCGGAGGGGTTCTAGCACTTTTGACTCGTCCGCTTGACGTAACCTGCATTAATAGGATAGTAATATAAAGATACATCCTTGTATCTTTTGCAATTAGTGACTAGGGCCAAAATTGCAATAGCTCGAATAAGATTCTATTCTCGTAAACTTTATGTACAATAAATAAAAAATAAAAAATATATTTTAAGTAATTATCATAAATTATAGTAACGTTAATTACACGATAGTTTAAGACATCATAGGAGCGATGAAACAGCGGAAAATGGGTAAAAATGGGGAAAATTATTCATCTTTGTGGGTTTCCGATTGGTACGCTACAAAAACGGCCCAATATACACAAAATATATGTATTCAAGAATGATATCTCTTTAAAGGATCTAAAAAAATGTCCGTGATACTATTTGTGTATCATTTAAGATTAACTAAGCAAGAACGAGGGCACGCGACCGACCGCCTCTATAGCCAAATGGTATTAGGTATTAGTAGGTATATGTGAAGCGCGAGGGGTTCTTAGTTCAGTTCGGTTTTAACTACTTGCCTGTAAACTGACCAGTGAAATGGACGAAGAAATATTTTCATACCCTGCTCAACGGGGGAACCGAGATTTCGCTTTCTTTCTTTCTTAAGTACAATATTAAAGACTCTATAAATACAGGTTTATAAAATACATTAGAAGCTCACCGTATTCGTTTCTGTTCCAAATGTCTGACGAATTCAGCTTCGCTTGGTAGTAAAAACATAATAGCTGCACCAACCTGAGCCGCTCGACCAGTACGCCCCACTCTGTGTTCAAAGTACAGTCGATGAAATATTGGAAAAATTAAGGAATATAAGGATACATACATACTGTGTACTGTGTGATACGTACTGTCTATACGCCAGTAGTACACGTAAAAAAAAAACTTTAACGTTTTAAAACGCGATATATATTAGTTAAATTTATCCCATCTAATAGATAAGTGTAAAAAAGGGGACCCATGTTCAAAAGATTATTGTGCTTTGCTTCGCCGTAAAGAATAGAGATCTTGATAAGTCCCAAGTTCTATGCAAAACTCAAGTATGTTATTTTAGGAACAAAAACTGATTAAAAAAAGCTGTTATTAAAAAAATACATTAAATTTCCCCGAAGAAAACAAGGTGTAGCTTCATGTGTTTACGTAAAATAAGTTTAAAGTTACAGAGGGGTCAAAAATGACACCAAATGGTTCGTGTAAAGATACACTTAGCGCTGCCTAGCCAGATCTTTTGCTTGAATTTCCCTGCCATGCTGCCCGTGTCTAGATTTGGAAATTATTTTAACTACGGCTTGACTAAAATAATATTATCGAATATATATCTCGTTTTAAACCGTTAAAGTGTTTTATTGAAGTAAGGACACCTGTCCACATCCATGGTTGTATTGCTATCTACCTGTGAACGTAATCCGTCGCTGACGCAGGAGCGCAGTATTGCAGTACCAGATCCACACGAGGTACGTCAATACCCCTGGCCGCAACATCCTAGTATAGATATAACAACATAAAAGAAAATAACTTTATTGGTAATAGTCATTAAGCTGTATAAAAGGGATGTAAAAGAAGAAAAGAAAGTAACTGCTAATAGTTGACTTAAAGAAATCGTCGAAAACGATAAGGCCGCCTTTGACCTAACTCATTCATTGTATCATTCGATGTATGTATTTGAGAATATATATTTACAATTTGTTTATTTATAGTACAGTCAATCGTTTCAATATTAAAATTTAAAAACAGTATTAATCTAAAACAGAAATGTTATCAATCATATAGAGCAGATACTCACTGTACAGAACAGCACGCCTCTCTTGGCAACGCGAAACTGCTTAAAGACCTCCATTCTCTGCTCATGAGGCATCGAGCCGTGCAGACTGAACACGTCTACATCCATTGGAACCAGACCGCCTTCGGCTGGTATCTCGTAATCCATTGCATAGTCCGAATCAGAGCCATCTGACGTATCCTATTAAGTTGATATAATGATAGATTTGGTTATAACAGTTATCAATAAATTTTGTTGTAGTTATTGCCCATAGATAAAGCAATATATCTGTATCTAGACTAAAATAAAACACGTTTAACGAGATAAAAGAAAGAAGTACATACAAATTACTAATTTTGTAACTTTTCCGGTTCAAAACGGTAATCTTTCTCATTCTAGGCAGTAAAGCTAAAAACATTTTGTATTAACCTAAGGGCATATAGCACTTAATTACGTTTGATTTACCTTATTATCCTCTTCTTCTTCATCCCCTTTTTTCTTCTTAGCCTTTAAGTCGTTTTTGCTTTTCTTCTGTTTTCTTTTTTTATCATCCTTGCCCGTCAATACAGTCTCAATCAATTCTGAATGATAGTCAACCATTTCTAAAGTTGCCATGAAAATTATCATTTTACCGCCCTTTTTGTTTAGAATGCAGTGTTCTACTATGAGAGAGCATAGAGACACCAATCTTAGTTTCATTGGTATAACCAAAAACGTTTGGTTTACTGTAGCTGGTAAAATAAGTTCATCTTCGACAATGGCTGACTTTAGGGCATTTTCAAACATATTAGGTTCGATTTTCTCTATCTCTTCTTTTATGTCTTCTTTGTTATTGGTTGCGTATACCGCTGTATCTTTACTCACACCCATTTCTTTTTGTACTTTAAAGTACTCATAATCAGAACCACTATCGCTTTCATTTCCATTTTCTTTCGTTTCTAAATTTTGTTCTTTTGTGACAACACCAAAAATATCTGGATGATCTGCACCACTAAAGCCTTTAAGTCCTAGAGGTAAAAATAAAATAATAATTAACTTACTGTAATCAGATTACAGTCACATTAACCGAATAATATCACAATTATATTGAGCACAGATACCAACTACCTGAGTTTGATTGATTGATTGACAAACTTGGTTGATACGAATAATATGAAATTTTAAAGACTATACATAGTCTCTAATACGCAACCTCTTTTCATTTTAACATCAGAGCTGTTGCTTTTATTTGGTGTTTGTATTTCAGTATCTTTTATAGGTGTGGCTTGAACTTTTTGTTTTTCTATAGTGCCATTCTGTATTATTTCTTTTACACTATTATTTGATTTCAAAGAATCAGCTACAAGACCTTTACCATCCGATGTGTCTACAAAAACTGGTTCTTTCATTGTGATACCTGCTAAGTTTTCTACAGCCTAAACAAAATAAAAAAGGTAATTTATCTAAAAGTTATTATACTGTACTAATCAATCTACTGAACTCACCTTTGTTAATGTTGCAGATAAAAGTATAGTTTGTCTTTCTTTTGATAAAAATACATCTGTTAAAGGATGTTTATGGTCAGAGTCATCTATTTTAACAGCTTCAATCTGTTGATCTTCTTTTTCTGGTGCTTTCTTTATTGTTTGTTTAACAAGAGCCATTGGGTCATATGTCGCTGCTTTTTTATGGTCTTCAATAGCTTTCACAATAGCAGCTACATCTTTTTCATAACCCATATCCAATAATCTATCAGCCTCATCCAGAATTAAGCACCTTCAAAGGGAAATAGAGTATAATAACAAAGTACCTAAATTTTAGTCAATATTTTTTAATGTTTGTCTTACCCAACTTTAGCAAAATTTAAAGAATGTGTGTGCCTGAGGTGATCATTAATTCTTCCAGGTGTCCCAACTAATATTGTCAACCCTTTCCTTAGCCTAGCTTTTTCTGCTTTTCTTTTTTGACCACCACTTAGTAATCCTGGTACAATCCATATGAATGGCTATAATTTTGACAAAAACATATGAATCTCAATCATAATATATAATGACAATTAATAGAAGACACATATATTTTTATGCCACTCAAACAAACCTTAACAAGTTTTTCAAAAAGTTCATATGTTTGCACAGCCAATTCCCGAGTTGGGACCACACAGACTATCCTTATACCATCATGCCTGTTTATTTTCGGTCTTATTGCTTGTAGACCTTCTATTACTGGTAATGCATATGCTAAAGTTTTTCCTGAACCTGTTTGTGACCTGATAAAGAAATACTAATATATCAAACAATATCTGGTTGAGTGTTACTGTAAATATACAAGTTTTTTAAGACAAAGCTGTCTACATTTATATTTAAAAAAACGAGGTATTTATTTTTCTAATTACAATCAATTGCTGCTAGTTTCTTTGTTTATAAAGACATTACATAGTACACCTACACCATGGGTAAGACAAATTTAAGTATTAAGGTTCATTCATTATATTATATTATTTATAATACAAGTAAGAGCTCTATTCTATTGTTTCTGAAATATTTTAAAACAGGTTATCTCATGCAGGGATTTGTTTATTTATATAAAGGATTACTTTACAATACTTGCTTAACAAAAAAGTAACAGTTTAGGTGGTACAATTTATGTGTTACACTCTAGATTTCCAAATATCAGAAGACAAATTACGCTGGTATAGTTATTTAGATTAATATTGTGTGTAGTCTACATTAGTAGTACACAATTAAATGATACACCTTTAACACTTTAAAATACAATAAATATTTGCTGCTACAAAGCATCTGGGGTCATAGTTAATAAGAAATAATTTTTATATTTTATGTTCAAACCCAAATAAAGTGTGATATTTAAATCTTGTTTAGACATTTTAAGGCTGGGGTAGGCAAGGTGTGGAGTCTTTCTCAGTAATAAAAAAACCATACCTGATTAGAACATCTCTTCCTTGTAAAATTACAGGAATCGCTTTCTGCTGCACTGTCATTAACTCCGTTAAATTCATGTTTTGTTTTAAATTTGCAATGCTATGTGGATGTAGGTTTAAATCTTGGAATGTTGTTCCAGCGAACACTTTTTCGACTAAAGGCTTGACTGCCCGCTGTCCCATACGAGGAACATTTGGGTTATTCTTAAACAATGATGATATCCAAGCACCACTTCTCTGTTTCTGTTTAATAACCATCTCATCAGTTACATCTTGATAGTTTTTATCTTGAAACTTTCCTTTGTTCTCACTCAAGTCACGTAAAGTCGATTGTAGGTCATTTTGTTTTGGTGATGCACTGTCTGATGTTTTGGCCAATTTAGCTTTGGGTTCTCCTGTATATTTCTCAATAAATTTTCGTGGAATACCATTTTGAGGTCTTTTCCTAGCTATAATCTTGCCGGTATAGTTTGGTTTTGCAACAAATTTATATTCACCACTACTTTTTTGAACGCCACGATTTTTGGGATTATTTTTCTAAAATACACAATACACAATTTTAATAACTAATACATAACTTGATAACAAAGTAAACCTTTATGAAATTACCTTCGCCGTTGCCGTTATATTTAATTGTAAATCTTCCATATTTTGAACAAATTATCTCTTTTATATAGATGTTTAGGTTATAACCACAATAAATCCATGCTTCAGCTGAGATTAATTTGTTTACAAAAATACGTCAAGCTGTCACACGTAATGACAGTTGGCTGACAGTTTACCGCAAAAAATCGGATACATCTACCAAAGAAGAATGAACGTTAGTTCGGTTAGTTTTAAATTTTATTCTTTTATTTGCCCAAAGAAAAATAATCAAGCGAACATCTTTTAAGATTTTACAAAATAAACTAAATAAACAGGTTTTAAAGTATTTAAGACAAAACCTGTTGTAGGTTAAGTTATGTTCGCGTGTAATCGATTTGGTTCAGAAAAATGTTATTGTTACAATTTACAATTTCTATACAAGTTTTATTGAATATATTTTCATATTATTTTGATATTTGACTTTTGTATATTTGTACACTTTAAATTATAAATATTTGCAAAATGAGCGAAAAAAATATGAATTTTTATTAAAAACATCGGATAATACCATATTATGTTCTCAGGAAAGCACTTATATCTGTTTATAGTCGATTTGTGAAGGATTAATGGTAAAAAGCTTAGGCACGCGCGAAAAGTATAAACTTCAACAGGGTCACGTGCTGGCGCGTGCCTACAAAACATTGCTTTAGGATGGCATTAGGGTGAAATAAATATTTGTTATTAGTAAAACCATAATAATATTGGTCGGATAATTGCAGTACTTACAAAATATTTCTGTAACAAAATTTACAACTGTTAGAGGTGATTTGTAATTAATATAATGAAGTTATAAAACTTTGAATACTTTTATAAAATCTATTTTTGCACCTTTTCAAAAATGATGTTATTATGACAAAACCGTAATTCGTAAGTGCAGGGAACTAGTATCTACCTATTATTGGATATTGTTGGGATTTTGTATTTATCAATGATTGATAAAACAACTATGTTTTTAGTTTTATGTGGACGGGCATAATAAAAATATATCAGATTGACAACTACTAGAAATGTCAATTATTTATGAGTAAAATATGTTGTATAATCTGTGCATTCCGAATGTAAGCGATTCAAAAGGATTCCAAACATAACACGAAGATAGTACATAAGGGGTCGCATAAACCCACGGGAGGTGTGAGGGCGCGACGTGATTACCGCCGGCCAACCGGCACGACCCTCGCCCACTCAGACGTGCCTGGATTTGCTAAGGACGTCAATTGGGATGATTCTTTTTTCAAACAAATCATATTTCCGATCCCTGAACCGACGTCTTACTATTAACTACAAATAATACTTGTATATAATTTAAATAAAGCACTTTAACGGTTTAAAACGCGAAATATACTAGTCGTAATTATTTTAACCAGGGCTGTAAAGCATCCGATACGTCGGGCTATAGTTAATATAACTTTCAAATAAGTTTATCTAATATATTTCGCATTTTAAAGTGTTTTATTTTAATATGTAATACGTAACGTAAACGATACAACAAAAAAGTTTGACTGATTTGTCTTTGGTTATTTTTGATAACAAATAATAACAAACTGACAAGTGAGACAATGGCATTTTAATAGGTGTAAAGATAAAAGATCAAAGATACCTGCAAAATGGCTGTGTTGAAAGCAACAACTTGTAAGGAAGCGATCGCTCGGTGGGAGAAAAAATCAGGCGAGACCGCAGCAGAGGCGAAAATTATAGAGATGCAGTTTCAATGGCCACCGATTGAAAAAATGGACGGAGCCTTATCCACTCTAGTCGCATGCGAGTAAGTTAACCAAATTCTCAAATAAAGATACGCAGCATGCTTTGTATGGAAAACAGAGCTATATAGTATGTACCCTGCCCTGGGTTTAAAAAGACATAATTTAATGAGGTCGTTGGTCTAATTGTAGCAATGTTAGGATGGTCGTGGGTTCGACTCCCACCAAGTCCAACATGTCTCTAATTTTTCAATTAATAATTGTTCTAAATCGTGTTGGACGTCGTGCGGAAATATTGATATTAAATTGGTGTTAGAAATAAAAACATTCCGTCCGAGACCACCGTTCACAGGTGAAAAGGCGAAAAGCATAATTGCGTTTCGGTTTCAGTCAGTGGATTTCCGAATATCCAAAGCCAAATAAGGACGACAGCGCATTTTGTTGAGATGTTATAGGCCGGGGGTATATCATATGTTTAAATACGGTTTAAACCTTAAGTGTAGCGGTTAAAACCCCCAATCGTTTTCGAACCAGCTCTACATGAAAGTTTCTGTAAATGAAAACTTTTACAGGAAGTTGAGCCTTTCGTCCAATATGATCGATAAGATCGTTGGTATCGCTGGGATGAGAAGTTTAAAGATTCTCTCTCTGGGCAGGAATAACATAAAATCTCTAGCTGGTCTTGTAAGTTAATTGAACTATTAACATTATTTTTATTTTCCTGAATATTGGAAGCCAAAATAGGCAATGTGAATAATATAAGTGACACTTTTAACGGTTTGAAACGCCTACGTATTAGTTAAAGTTATTTTCAAATTTTACTATCAATGTTGAAGGTCTTTAGATACGATATCCGATATACTTGTCGTAGAGGTATCTTTTAGCATACTACGTTGTTGTATTCGTGGGAGGAAATTTTGATTTTCTTCGGTTTTTAATTACGAATCTTTAAAAAAACTAAAATTGTCTATACCATGTATATAGGCTATATTCGATTGGTATATCTATACTTACTAACATATAAAGGTGAAGAGTTTGTTTGAACGCGCTAATGTCAGGAACTACGGGTTCGAATTGTGAAATTCTTAATGTCGTGGATAACAGCTTAAATGTATAAAGATGAAGTATAGGTTTACAAAGAACAAACATAAAATAATTATTCCACACGGACGAAGTCTCTGACACAGCTAGTATTTATTTATTTATACAAGGCTCACCAACTACATACATAATTAAACTTACAAAATCTATTTTTAAGAATAGTTAATACTACTTATGTATCTAACTTAAAGGTGTGCACAACTTTAACTAAATATATTAAACAAAGATTAAAAAAAAGAGAGTTTTTTACATAACAATTAAAACTACAGATTAGGTAGACATTAAATAAGAATAAAACATGTAATTAAAATTTATGGATGGTAAAATTTCTAAAACTTTTTTCTTGAACATATTTGAGTTGACGAATAAATCTAATTGATCCAATTTAAACACACAGTTGTACAATTTACACATTGCCTGAATGGGTGAATTTAAACCATAGTTATTTTTACAATGTTTTATGTGCAGAGGACTAAAGGTAATAATTCTACAATTAAAGGATGGGACGCAGATTCCGATATGTTGTAGAAGAGATAGAGAGAGTATTGAGTAAGACTAATTTTACGGTCAAAAAATCAATCGCTTATTTGAAATTGCGACTCGATGTTATGATAATTTTAACATGATTGAAGAAGACCGATATTCATTGATTCAATTGATACTTTTAATTTTTCCACATGTGATATAAATTAAAAATTTTAGATTGTAAAAAAATTACGTGACGGGCAGAACCTGCCCGTGTTAAGTGCATCAGCTATATTGTATTTATTTCAGATGTGGGATTTTTTCATGACACTTTGGTCATTTACTTTAATAGCTATTCATAGCCAACGTCGGACCAATGATCCTATTAAAGAAATGTATCAATTTTCTAGGAAACAGTTTCTGATACATTAGAAGAGTTATGGATCAGTTACAATCCGATTGACAAACTCAAAGGTATTGGTGCAATGAAGTCTCTTCGTGTGCTTTATATGTCCAATAATGCGGTGAAGGAGTGGGCCGAGTTCAATAGGCTGCAGGTAATTGAGGTATTTGATAAAGAACAACGGCAGTCGAACCCACGATCACATTGCCTAGGAAATCACAATAATCTCTCCTATCACTAATTCAGTGGCAGGAGTTTGACTACAGGAGTGTAAGTGTAAGCAATGTATAGCTAATAATTTTTCTAATTAATTTATATTTTTTGTGAAACATATTAGACTTCGTTTGGACATGTGAATATTAAATGGATATTGAAATTCCGTCTGGGTCACGAACCACCGTCCACAGATGAAAAATATCCGATATTAAAAGCCAATAGAGGTCTTGTTCATGTTTAGATTATTTCTCTATATGAAAAAACTCTAAGTAATAAGCACTGTAGTTCTACCTGTCCCTAACAATAGGGCATTAATACGAGTAGATTGAAACATAGTTTTCGTCACTTCTACTTCCTTATGACTCACCTTTTTAAAAGATAAGTATTTTTCCAGGAATGTCCAGCTTTACGAGACCTCGTTTTCACTGGAAATCCCATTTGTGAAAACCAACCAGATGTGGATACTTGGCGTACGCAAGCTTCTAATCGTCTACAACAAATTACGAAGCTTGATGGTATACCTATACTGAGAGACACCGACTGAATTCATCACAGCTATAATGAAGATAAATAGGAAAATAAATGTATATTAAAAGTGTCTTTGTACTTATAAATACTGACAGTATGTCGGGGTATTTATAATAATTTCTTTATTAATTACCTTCTTGGTCAGTGTACCCGACTGCAAATCTCGAGTTCCCGGGTTCGACTTCTAGATAGGCCGTAATGCTGTTTCATACTTTACCGTAGTTTGGAACTGTCGGAAGTAGGGCATGTCATCATCCGTTAGAGAGCTCGGCCGTAAGTATCCGAATCGTCGGGTTGTATTTAAAAATAAGTTTTCACGTTTTAAATTTGTTAGAATTTTTTCAGTTCATTTTTGTCAGAGTTCTAATTCTTACACATTACATTATTCTCTCGCTAGCATAATCATTCAAACTGTTGAATTTGTTTTATTTAACCACGATGAGGACAAATAGTATTTTAAATAACTTTTTTTTTAATTTGTCCATAGCGTTTTTCAGCTACATAGTGGTAAGGGTGAGGGACCTGATCTACTTATTCTAATAAGTGTCGACTTATTATTAATTTATATTTTGTCTATTGCTGTAAAAATTACTTCAGAATCAAATATACAACACATTCTTTGTTGCCCGTCCGGCACAACGATTCGTCATACGTCCTGAAGCCGACATAATATCCAGCTTAATTCGTCGCTAAAGGAAATGCGAATCGGCGAGGGTCGCTATTGCGGAAAAGTCCCTCTGTAGTCGTCCGATGGCTCTCCCATTGTAATGCTACTAATAAAATTTAATGATGTAAACGGATAGCGCGAATTTATCTTGCTTCATAGAAGTCGCCGAGGGAGAATCAATTAACGACAATATCTATTCGCAATTGAATTATTGTCGTTACATGATAGCTTTGAAAGTTGTAATTGTTTGAGTAATTCTTTTATTGATTTATACAGTAAGAACAATCAATGTATTTAAAATATAATTGGTGAAGCCATTAAAGGCACAATCTGAGTTTTGAACGTTTTTTATAAGAAAGAAGAATTAAATAAGTATTTATTAAAAGAATTAACGAATTACATCTTTCTTCCAAACCGCCATTTTGTACAAGAGACAGAATATACAAGCTAATAAAAGAGGCTAGGGGACATACACAACCACAGACCTACTATTTTTTTTTGTTGTTAATAAATCCACATCCAATAGAAACCAATTTAATACTGTCTATTTCTGATTATTTCACAATGATAAACAGCTGATCTCTTTTGTAAACCGCGTTGTTTATCGTGGAGATTAAATCCTGAAAAATATAATTAAATGTTTTTTTTTATTATTTCTTTAGCAAAACCGCGACGTATAATTAGATATAATCTACTCGTTATAAAAAGAAATACCGGAATGTCGCGTTTACTGATAAAAGCGTTTTATTTAATATTGTGTAAGTTGTACAGGGCACGGGAGCATTAACAAGGACTAACTTTTAAATAAAACCAGATCAGTAAAACCGCAGAGAAAAGGACACAGAGAAATGTCTGTCCCGTGCCTCAAGTAGACGAAACGGGATTTTACGTTATAGCATATGTCTGTTTTATGAATGATGACGAATTTTTGAGTCCTATCAATGTAAGTATAGGTTAACGAAACAGTAATAACTTATTAAATAAAATAATTAAGATTCAAGCAGTCGCTGTGTAGTTAATTTGTTAATAGCGTCGCGTGTATGGAAAACCAAAATGTCACACTATTGGTGACATTTGAATGACATTCGGTAATTTAATGGAGCCTCGAGCATTGTGTGCTCCCGTAATGGACCGATAATTGTCCGCCCAAATAGAAGTAAGTCTGTTAATAACAATGATAGTCGCACCTTCCCCGACGCGTGAGTGCTGTCATTATTTAATTATTAACGTCACAATCGACCCAATTTTGATTTCTATTTGACATTTCGATTACAACGCCATTGCCGCCGGCGAACGGTATTTTATGACATCTGTCCTCGAATGTGTTACGAACTATAAAATTCAATTTCCCCAATCGGCTATCGGCACATTTATTATTCATAGAACGGCACATAGACGCCCGGCCACTAACAGATGTGATGTTTTACGTGAAGGAATAAAAAGATCATGTTATAACGTGATTGAAGGACTTCAATGTATTATAAGGTTCATATGGTTTTAGGTACTAAATATGAAACATAAGTCCTTATTTTACTTCTCCAACACAATTATAAAAGAAAACACAGAGTGTGAATGGCGACGCTAGAGAGCCAACCTTAGCATATAATTCTTCTTAATCCTGATTGAGTATACATAAAAACCTTAGTCACAATCGAAAGTTATATGAAATCTTAGAATATCAAAGCTGCACAAGTTTGTTTGTTACGCGCTAATCTCAGGAACTACTGCTTCGCATTGAAAAATTGATTTTGCGTTAGTTAGAATATTGATCGAGGAAGGCTGTAAAACATTGCGCTGTGACTAATAGGAGCGAACAAACAACGGAAAATGCGGAAAAAACGAGGACAATTATTCATCTTTGTACGTCCAGGGGAGAGAGAATCTTCTTTAAATGATCAAAAAACAATGTCCGCAACAATATAAGTCTATCTCTTAAGATGAACTCCCAAGAACCACGGGACGCGACCGACGTCGTGGGTAAAAGCTTAAATTTATAAAGATGACGAGGAGGTTCGTAAAAACAAATTCGGATGCCCAAAATTACCGGATACCCAACTATTCTACGCGGACGAAGTCGCAGACACAGCAAGTGTGTAATATACACCCTTAACAAGGTAGATCCGAAAATGCAACCCTAAGGGACACCGTAAATTAATTAGTAAAATGTCAAATTGATTATTAAATCAGTATTTACAATATACCTAAAATACTTTTAACAAGCTTATAGACGAAATTATTAGTGATAGGACCGCGGCTGCTGTAATGTATACAAAACTTCTAGTTAGATAATTACTCATAGGCTGACATCAAGATTAGCAGAGCAACATCAATGTATTTTAACAGTTTTCGTATGACATTACTCCATCATAACAAATACCCAATACTCTGTATAGTATAGAAAACGTATTATGGTTACTAAAATTATGCGGCTAACAGCTTTGAAGGGTTGTGTTCGAAGTGGCATAAATAATTTGGCACGTTGCGAACGGCGTGATCGGTAATTGGCATTAGATCACGCCAGTGGACGCGTTCAATAACGCCGATGTCCATTTTCATAATGGCTATATCGTAGCAGCTGGTCGATTTAAATTGTGATCGAGCCACGGAGCCAATAAATCAATCTATGTCATCGGTAATGCACAATCCATTTACTCGCATGTAGCCTAATTGCTGTTAGCGCCGCCCAACGGGCACTCTAGCCTGAAACGTTCCCCATATACCCGCCCTCTGGCCCAGAAGCCCGACTCCCGTAGTCTGTAGGTCGTAATGGTTGATTTTCTAGCTCACGAAACAAGCCGCAAATACAGCGCTTACGCCACTTAAAGGCGGAGAAAATGGCTTAAGTGCTTTCTCTATTATACTTAAGGTCGCTTGTGAAAAGGATAATTTTCAACTCTGTATCGCCCTCGTTTCGCTGGCTAGTTTAATGAGGACATTTCTTTTATTCAGTTTTCGGCAAAATTGAAATTAGAATTTAAAAGAGTTATGTCATTGTTTATAATTTAAATAACTCTAGATGTTGATTAAATTAAGTTTGTATTTTTTTTTCAATAGTCCAATTTTCCTTTACATTTTTACTTTCCATACTTATCCAATTAAATAAAACTCCAAACTTAAACAGGCCATTAGGTGGCTGACCCTTATTATCTTCTAACTCTCTTAACTTAACTTTACTTAACTTTTAGTTTCCCAATTTTTAGTTACTGTGTCTTAAAAAACTTGATGATTAAAAACGCAAAATGTATGTTAATTTATGTTAACTACGGCCCGGCGTTTTCTATGCTTCGCAGTAACCGTGGCCGAGGTAGGCTGTAAATAAGTTAACTATTACATTTCGAGTTTTAAACGGCTAAATATGTTTTATTTTAATACGTACTACTCGCATAGACTACTGACAATAGCAAAGTGCTATACAAATGTCTCATTTATAGTTAATTAAAACAGATCCGTCCGTCTCAACAATTTTTTAAATTTAAAAACAAAATTTGGATCCACATTTTACCAACAGCGATTGAGATAATATATTTTTAAGTTGGGTAACCTATTGTGCCAGCTAGCGAGAGGGTAGCGAAATAAAGCTTTTCCAACAAACAATAGTTCCGGCCCTTTGTCGTCCTCCGAGTTGAGTAAACATTAGTAGTTGAGAGCATTGTCAAGTTGCAGGATCGCGGCCTAAGAGGTTACGGCCAGATAACTTCCACTTGCCGCCCATAGCTTTTGTCTGTTTGATATATTTTTTGTCTTTGTGGAAATTGTCCGCTGTCTATTCCCGTCCCTTGGGTGCTTCATCACGACTCTCTACTTTGTTTATGGTTTGTTGTACGGAATTATGCGTTCTTTAGAGTCCCTAGAGATAAAAACCTTTGGCAATAGACTAGTATTTTGTTTGATGTACCTACAACGTTCGGTCGTGTCTAGTTACTTTTAAGTCAATGTTGTCTATAGTTTACGCGAGTAGTACACATTTAAATAAAACACATTAACGATTTAAACCCCGTGGTCTCCCCGTGACCACGGCTGCTGCAAAGCATCCGAAACGTCGGACCGAAGTTAAAAAACATTTTCAAATAAGTTTAACATTTATACATACATCTTTAAATAAAATATTTTCAATTTCAACGCGAAATTGATTAGTTAACCAATTGTTTTAAACTACAAAATATCGCCTTTTAACCGTTAAAAGTGTTTTATTTTAACATGTACTTCTCGCGTAAACTACTGATAATACCAATAAATACATATACGTAGGTACAAACAGATATCCCCACTTAAATTTCAAGAGCTTAGATCACCATGCTAGTCTAGTGCGGGTTGGCGGGCTTTGAGCACCTCCAGAATATCGTTTCTAA